ACACACTCACTGACAGACACACACACACACACTCACTGACAGACACAAACATACTCACTGACAGACCCACACACTCACTGGCAGACACACACACAGACACACACACACACACACTCACTTATACACAGACACACACACAGTCACTGACAGACACACACATACTCACTGACAGACACACACTCACTGACAGACACACACACATACACACTCACTGACAGACACAAACACAGACACACACACCATCAATCACTGACAGACACACATACACTCATACACTTACACATTCTTGCACACACATACTTTACTTTATTGCTCTAGGGTCCTTCTGTCTGCTCCTCACTGGTCCCGCGCGCGGTTTAGTGATGCAGGATGCCGGAATATGGCGCACGGCTTCACTACAGATGGCGTGCACAAGGGAGCAGTGAGGAGCATGAACACTGAGCTCCCTCGCTGGCCCTCCTCCCCGGCCGGGTAAATGTTAGCAGTGTAGGCACCTGCAACATGGGGAAAGCAATATGTACTCGCAGCTTGCCGGGCCGCAAAGATGGTCCTTGTGGGCCGCGGGTCACGAGTTTGACATGCATGTGCGCATAGGTTATAGTCAGAAATATGTAATAAGGAAACAAACCAAATTCAGAAGGAGACTTAACCAGTCTACTTTATACTGGAATACTAATGTAAAGGATAACAGCATTCTTCGTTTGGAACTTTTTCAATCTCTCATTTTTAGACAGTTGGCTAACCTCACATCCTTGGCTCCCTGCTGCCTCACTGACCCTCTGACATACTCTCTCCACAAATCTACCCTTTTCCCAATCTTTACTCTTTCAGTTGATTTTAAAAGTGACTTACATTTCCTGATGACTTGTTAATGGATATCTTTCTGTTCTATCTAAACTTATTGTATTGGCGATATGATAGATCCCTGGTGTTTATCACCACGTTGTAAACTGACGTTACTTTTATCAGTTGTGTTTGATGTTATATCTTGCATATTGTGCATACAGTAAACCTTAAACATAAAACAAATAATAATGTTCTGTTCTTTAACCATTCAATATAGTCTGGTGACTTGTTGCACAAGGCTTGCAATGCTGTTGCATAGAGGTGTGACATACAGGCAAGTGGTACCTCGACGGCATTCCACTTGCATTGCAAATAAAACATTGGTAACAGTGGGGTATGTGATGTCTTGCACATTTTTTAGAATATAGATTGCGATTGCAAGCGTCAATAACAGGTAGAGATAGGTTGTGAGTTTTCAGTAGTTTGTGATAAGCATGCTAGCTAGATAGTCAGCTTACATAAATCAACATTAGTTATACTTAAGCTAAAGGTATAGTATGTAGAGTACATGCTGAAAAATCATAGCAGTAAAAACAAGAAGAGAATATAACATTTGGACATCATATAGCATTACTGTAAGCTTGTGAGGCACTGAGGTTCGGAGCTGTGTATGTTTGTGCCTTCTGCTCTCCATGGGTGTCAGTCCTGGTCACGCAATGTCACAGGCTTAATCTGAGGGATGATGGGCCTGGCACTGACCTGTCTGGAGGCTTTGTGTAGAGAGTCTCTGTTATTATCCGATGCCGTCTCTCGTGAAGCAGTGAGCAGTGTTTGGTGAGGTGTTCAAGGTCGCAGCAGCATTGGACAGTATGTGGATATCCTTCCAGCCCCAGGCTGTTACGTAGGCCTGCATCTCGATGCCACGAACTCCACAGCTTCTGTAGCCTGAGTTTCTTCCCCTGACGGGGGCAATGGAGGACCTGTTGAGCTTTGGCCGCTTGCGGCTTTGAAGCCTCCTTGCGTGTGGGCGATGCGCCCGGGTCTTCGCCCTTTTGGCCTCCAGCCCGGGTGGGCTCTGTGGTTTGGAGGTGTGTTGGTCATCCGTTGCTTTGCCCAAGGGTATGCCTCCCTGTCTCCGCTGCCGGCTGCCTTGCTTACCCGCTGGTCAATACCTAACTTTATTGATGTAATCATACTTTTTTCCTTAAGTTGTTTTAAGCGTTAGAATCATCTTCATAATATTTTGCATTTATTTTATGTCTTGAGGTTCGTATAGATAGATCATTAATTTATCCAGTGAAAATATGTGGTCTAATTTGGTAAAATAAACCTATTTGCAATTCTGTCTGGCAGTTCATAACTCGCTTGGCACTTGTCTATACCAGAGTTCCAACTTTTAATAATGCATAATATTTAATCATGAGCTACTGTATTGTTCTGTAGTCTGACATTTCAGCTGGATAAATGCTATTTGGATCGGTTAGATCATAAATAATCGTTATTAACTTTGAAAAGAGTATTGGGGTGGTTCGATGTTTTCACCTTCTGCAAATGATGAATGCGCTTAAATAAAGTATTGTGTTATCAGCACTTTCTTGGATAAGAGGTTTCTCCTTTGTCGTAAACATTTGTATTTTGCTTGTCTTTTGTCACAATATGTCTGAAGCTCTCTTTTGGGAAAATGACATACTTAAATCTGTAAATTTCTTGCCAATATCTGAAGCAGGGGTGCTCAAAACATAGATCCCCAGATGTTGTAGAACTACTACTCCCATGATGCTTTGCATGCCTTTGGAATGCTTTTAGATTGATAACGCATCATGGAAGCTGTAGTTATAAAACATCTAGAGATCTACCTTTTGGGCAACCCTGACCTAAAGTGTATAGTACCAACATCACCAACATATTCAGTAATGCAGTACAATCCCCAGTGTATTATTACAAGGCTCTGCGGAATATGTTGGCGCTATATAAATAATAATACTAATGCAAGATATGTTAGGAATAGGTGATGAAAACCGTGTCCAAACAGACGTCCAGTCTAAAGGAAACGGGATAGTGGAACAAATTGAAACATGGGCATGATGGAAGGTATAGTACGCATGCATCCTATATTTTGTATTTGTTAAAATGCATGTAGTGTGAAAGGGAGACATACTGTTAGAGCAGTGGATAGACAGAGCTAGGTTTGCTATATGGAGAAATAAATAGTTTACTTTCTCTATATACGTTGGAATGGAGTGACACTAGACAGGTGAGAGTTTGAAGGTGTTTGTGCGAGCTGACGGTAAACACGAATAAATGCTTGTGCCTTGAGTTCCAAAAAGGTAAACAAATGTGTGTCTTTAGAAAGATAGCGGCCGGATATCGAGAGCGAGAGAAAGAGGAGACAGAGAAGAAAATGACAAGGCAGAGATTTTAGCAGGTAGAGAGTCAATGGCAGAACCATTGCTCTGAATTAACACCCTGTACATTCCATTTGGGTAGATCATCTAGGTCAGGGGTGCCCAAAAGGTAGATCCCCAGATGTTTTAAAACTACAGCTTCCATGATGCTTTGTCATTCTAAGGACATGCAAAAAATATATATACTTTTATTTTTTCGAAGGGAGGGTGTGTGTGGAGGGTGCAGGCACTGAGTGGGATCTGTGGAGGGAGGGGGACAGGGGAGAAGGTATCTGTGCAGAGGAGGGAGGGGGACTGTCTGGGTGCTGGGGAGGCAGGGGGAAAGAGGATCTCTGCAGGCAGAGAAGGGGTCTGTGAAAGTGCAGGGGAGGGAGGGGGGCTGTTGGATCTTGCTTTTGATGCTAAACTTATATATATGCATCAACTAACATGACCAATATAATTTGCCTTTTACTGTTACGCCTATGTCTCGGATTACATCAACAAAATTAAAAATGAGGGGGAAAAAATTGAAGTTCAAATTTTAAGCCAGAAAAGCCAACGAGTAAACTTATCTGAGTTGGAGAATTGTACCAATATAGCTTTTGGCCTTGAGATGTGAAATGAATTCAGCATTTCTCACAGCAAAAATTTGCTAAATAGGGGGCGGGGCCTGGCTGCCAACCTGAATGGACGCATGCAGAATGTGCTCCGTATGAAAAGCTCCAAAAGTGCCCTAATTACGAACTCTTACCTGATCAAAGTCAGATACCTGAAGATTGGTAACAAGCTGACTTCATCTCTGCAACACCAGGCAGCTTTGTAGACGCAAAACGAGCAGCATAGCCTCGAAGCACAACTGCGGCTTACAAGCGGGGCTGGCGTGGATGAAGCGGCCGATAATCCTGCTGATAAACGAGAACGCAGCAAGAGCCCCCCCCCTTGCCGGCGGGGGTTATCCCGGCTCCAGCACTCACACTGTATTCCTAACCACCCACTGGCCCGCCGACCCAGCACACGTTCATGAGGGACGAATGGCGGGAGCCAAGATGGCGGGCGCAGGTCCTAATAACATACCACGAGGCCCGAGGGAAGAGACTCTCACAAAGCTGGATGCAATATTCAAGGCATTCTGGTACAGGCTCGAAAAGAGGCAACAGCGGGCTGGCATGCAAGGCTACGCACCTCCGGCGGCTGATTCAAAGTGCCAAAATAAGCTTGCACCGGGGGCCCATAAACGGGTAACCTCCACACTGCGACCACACACCACCGGGGTCTCCCGTTACTCATCACCCGCACAAGCACTGACTCACACTAAGAAGCGGAGGACAGTCCGCAATCCAGCTGTAGCAGTCCCACATCGAGGCAACCACAGGAGGAGACCCACTACAGCACAGGCGACTCACCTAAAGTGCCACATCCAGCTGCAGCCCAACAGGCAAATCATTACAGCATCGCTGAAAGCGAAGAGGTCGGCTGGACACTACCGCCAACAGCACAACACGAACCCTTTGAGGGATCTTGTACATCACAAGGCAAAGCACCAAGGAGGAGGGTCGCTGTCCCAGGCTATGGCCAACACCACACCACAAGCTCGCACTCACCGGAGCTCACCAGGGACAGACAAAGCCTTGCACCCCCCCTGCCTGACTGGACGTTTCGCTGATCGGGACTGTGTAGACCCACTAAAAGGCATCGGTTAGCGGCAAATACAGGGCCTTGCGCTGCTACAGGCCTCTCGCCACGCTAGGCCACATATAGCAGCACCTAAATTAGCTAGCCTAGCTCGATATCTAACACATATGGTTGAACAGGAACCCAGTGCCGTTATTGTTTTATATTGTTTTACCTTGTTTATATGTTAGTCATACGACATTGCACCAATAGTATTTTCAATCTACCACAATTAGCCGGGGCTGTTTAATAGGTGTCAGAGGCCAGTGGTATACTAACATATACCTTCTCAGCTCTCAGGTGTAGATCCATAGTTCAGTATGTTTAATCACACCTATAAAATTGTGCACTCTCCTCACAGGCTAAGATACCGTCTAGACATATGTTCCTAGAATGATGATTGCTGCCAACATGGCATCTCAAGCCTGTAAAAACCTAGCTTGCAATACTCTCTACTATTATTATAACCTGTATTATGTGAAGCCTGCTTCTTATTTTATTAGTTATCGTTTTGGATATAACTCTGTGTCAAGCGTTAATAACCCAAAAAATGTGCAAAGGTTTTTTTCCCCTGCCTAATTACTGTGAAACTATGTTTAACTCTGCATGTTCTAGCTGTTGTGGCAGGATGTGCTATATGTGATTTTTCCATGCACAAATAAAATAAAGAATTAAAAAAAAAAAAAAATTTGCTAAATATTCAGATGTTGTTATGTATACTTAAATAAGAAAACAAAAATGAACAGACTTGCAGTTTTTCACTGAAGTCCAAATTGTAGCTAACTGAACTCTGAAATGCACAAAAACGCGAGTTAGAAGAACTCACCAACACAGCCGTATTCACGGGTATTTTAATCAAAATTTTGCCATTTTAATCCACTATAATGAAGTCTCTATTTTTATCTTCTTATTTATCTGTATGCGTTTTACAGCCAAGTTAAATAAAAACACATTCTATGTTTCTATCCTACACAATTCTAAATGTATTTCTCCAGGAAACCCACTCTTTGAAATAAACTGGGATAATGTTCAGTAGAAGAGAAAGTAGAGAAAGAAGACAAGTATGAAGTGACTCAATTAGCCTAAGCTTTGTTTTTCTGGGACCAAATATTGCAGCCTTGTGCTCAGCCACGCGGGATGCTTGGATGTCCTTTGATTCCTGCCTCTCTAGGTGATTGATGATGGGAGTTGAGATTCGTAAAGTTCTCCTTTGCAATCTGCATACTCATTTGCATGTCAGTGGTGAGCCGCATGTGCCTTTTGAGATGCAAAGAGGTCATTTGCATTGGACATGTTGAAAGATGTTCATGTAATTCACGCAGGGTTGTCAGAATCCAGTTATTCAGAACAGTAGGACTGGACAGGACAGTTCCAAGAAGGTAGAGGAAAGAACATTTAGAGACATATTAGTTGTATTCAGTGCTACGTAGAAAGGCATAATGCAAAATACTCCAGAAACAGTGAAAATATAGAGTAAAAAAAACAAAAAGTCTGAGGTCGGCTAATCAGATAGGCTAACCAAGGTTATGAAGCAAGAAATTTAGAATAATCAATAAAGCAATCCAGGTCTGTATCAAAAACTCAGTACAGATCAAAGAATGCACTTAAGGGTAACATAAAGGTATCTCAAAATAAAACTAGGTAAATGTACCCAATTTTAGGAGTGAGTTTATGGTATGGGGTTACGATGAGCCAAATTAGTAGTGCTGGAGATAGATGGCTTTATGGTGCTGGGTTGGTGAGGTGGTGAAATCGTGGGGCTGGAGTGCAGAAGGGGTAGATAATGGCACTGTTGGGTGAAGTCAAAATAGTGAAGAGAAATTAATTGGTGGCACTGGTGAGGGGCCG